CAGAGCATGTGTGTGGATCACAGGCTGCACTCTGTCTCACCCACTCGGCTGGGACTGCTACCGGGAGTAGTTGCACGTAGATGATCACAGCGCTGATCCGAAACCCTCACTCTTCCCTTCAAACAGTTTTTGACAATAGTAAATTTAATTTTTAGATAAGATACTCTGCGTGTGGATAGATATATATAGATATATATATACATATATAGAGGGAAAGAAGAAACCCCCCATTGTATGAAATACTCGGGCTTTCTTACAACAATGGCTTTCTTCTCTGGCAAGTATCTCAGAAAGAAAATCGGATTCACCAGAGGTAAGGAAAGCAAATGCCCATTAAACACAGACAGCTGCCTGTGTTTTGTTCTGCTGTCTGTTACGGGCTTTCTGTCCAGATTTATTTCCCCACCCCCCATTCTCTTGGGAGTCTCAAAGTGCTTCACAGAATATACTGTAAAGTGGATTTACTATGTATTTTGTGGGTGAAACGCAGCAGCCAATTGCTTGTACTGGACCAGACACAACAGTGTCCCACAAACAGTTGAGGATTGACTGACCAAATTATTGTGATTATATTTTGAAGGGATTATTACACCCGGAAAGCGATCTGCCAATCGACTAACAAAAGGGTTCCTACTTGCTGCTAAGCAAACAGAGATGTGTGGAGTAAGGAAAACCTTGCTTAAGGTTTTGCTTCGTCCGGAAATCAAACCCGGGTCCTCTCGCTTGTGAGGCGAGTGCACTAACCATTAGGCTATAGGACTCCCTTCTTAAAATGATTCAAAATTAATACTCTAGTTTTTCTTGGCAAATTAACACTGGGAAAGGCGAGGGTGGTATGTTCGGAGTTAACCCCTCGCAGGCCATCCCAGGCCTCCCAGTTACAGAGGAAACTGAGTTACTGCTTTTCTCCCACACTATGTGTTTGTTCCTGGCTGTTAGGGATAAAGCTGCTGCTGGCTGCTCTGGTCTTCTTCTTGCACTGTGTCTGTGAGTATAAAATGGTACAGTGGGAGGTGGACTGTAAATAAAGGGAGAGCTCTTTTGGGGAGCTAGTATGGGCACGATGGGCCGAATGGCCTCTTCTCCTGCGTTCTGAATTTGTACAGTTCTGTGGTTCCCCAGAGTATAGAGGAGAACGCAGTCATTCTCGCTGCACTACAGTTACAGCATGTTTGTCATATGAGACACACTCGGTGTGCAAGCATACAATGTACCTGTCTGGCCGTGTTCAAAGTCTTATTAATGAACATTACATGCAGATTGAAAACTCCCCCACCCCATCCCACACCTTCCACAGAAGTGCTAATGATTCACAGGTTACCTTCAAACACTCACAACCTTGTTTATATTGTGTCTGAGCCCCATTTATAATAATAATAATCCTTGCAATTGATATGGTGCCTTATCACATCATTGAGACGTCTCAAAGTACTTCACAGAATATGCTGTAAAGTGAATTGACTGTATATATTTTGTGGGCAAAATGTGGCAGCCAATTGCGCACAGCAGGGTCCCACAAACAGTCGTGGATTGAGTGACCAAATTATTACTTGAATGGAGAAATTATTACCCCCGGAAAGCGATCCGTCTATCGACTAACAACCAGGTTACTACTTACCACTAAGCAAACAGAGGAGTGTGGAGTAAGGAAACTGACTGGGAATCAAATCAAGCCTTTTGCACGATAGGCGAGTGCGCTAACCAATACGCTATATACTGTGTGATAATTGGTGTCTGAGTGGGCGATCATGGACCGTAGCAATGGTATAATTAGGCTGGGTAAAGGCAGTGCCTGGACTGCAGTTAGCAGGAGGTCTGAAGCTCAGAGAACCAGCGCTGTGTCTGTGAGCAGAGCCACTCTCATTGTGTACCTGAATAGAGACTCAACGCGTGTTGTGCTGGCGTGTCTTCGCCTCCAGCCCTTGTCCTTTCTCTCGCACGCCGATTCTCTGAAGGTGAGAGACCTGAAATAACAATTCGGAGGGTCTCAGTCTCCAGGATAGAAAGGTTTGAAAAATAAAAAGAGCCATCCCCTTCCCCAACCCACCATCACAAACCAGGAAGGTCTGAGGTTCAATCCTCGGTCTGAGCTGCTCTCCCCCACCAGGGTAATGTCTTGAGCTAATCTTACACTCCTGAGTTAGAGCAGGGTCAGAGAACCAGCCAGGGCTCCTGCTCTCAATCAGTGTGAAGTCACCCCAGCTGGTGGGCAATAAATGACCATATGACCAACCTCACCTGTGATTCCCCTCCCCCTCAATCCGAGCTTCTCAGGTGAATATCCCGCATGTTGGGATGCAGAGGATGGGTACTGAAGGATGAGATAACATTTCCCCCTCCCCACCGGCCATACAATACAATGTACATTTTATGCAGCACCTTTCATGTCAGGAGGACATCTCAAAGTGCTTAACGCAGCTGGCTATGCAGCTGAGAGCTGAGCCTGGTTGGGTGTTTGGAGTACTGAGCAGGGCGGGGTGAGGAGAGATGACTGTGACTGCAAGTGTGGTAAAAAAAAGACTTGGGTTGGGTTGGATTGGGGGGGCACTGGGCTGGGGTTTGGGGGTGCGCAGGGCTCGTGGGAGCGGCACACTCTTGGAACCATACGTACCCCAGTAGAGAAAAGGGAGAAAAAGGATCTTTTTCAGGAGAGAAGGTTGGTGGAGAGTCATTGATGGACTGCACCAGTTGTCGCACAACTGCTCTGACTCACATCATATGTCAGCCTCCTCACCAGACAAAATAAACCTGAGATGAGGGGGGCAGTGGGGGCAACCCAGACAGATGCCAGGTCAAGCCAGGCGACTGCTTAACAAAAGAAAATCAGCTTTATTCCAGTTAACACTCGGCACAGTCCCGTAACGTTGCGATTAGTGCGCTTGCCCCACAAGCGAGAGGACCTGGGTTTGATTTGCTGGGCAGGGCAAAGCCTTCAGCAATCGGCTACCACATGTGGCTCACAAAATATATGCTTGACGATACATTCTACGAAGTGCTTTGAGATGTTTCACTCTTTGAAATGCGAGGGTTTTTATTAATAGTAATTAATATCAGACAAGTTTAGGATTAGAGAGAGAGAGAATTACAAAAAGTGATCAGGCAATAAAAAGAAGATGTTTGACCAACTAATCTACCCCAGTCCACACAAGCCTCAATTCCTTCTGTTCCCTTCTCCCTCTGGCATACAGACCTCAATGTGGACTTGATATCCACTCTGTTTTCATATCCACAATGGAGCCACACCCAACTGGTGCAGATATTGGGTAAATCTTCTGTACCATGCAATTGACATAGTAAAGCATCTGCTCCTCCTAGATTTTAAACATAACATATAAAAGTTCAAGCAACATTAGATACTGTGTTACAACCTGGAAATCACTCAGGGATTACTCTCACTGTTATGTTATTAATGGGGACAAAATGAGGATTAAAACATCCTTGAGCAATGAGGAACCCAAATATTTCAACTACAAACACATGGACCTACCAACCTGGCTGTGTGCATAGAGGTGAGTGGGGAGAGGGAAATGCTATCTCATCCTTTAGTACCCATCCCCTGCATCCCAACATGCTTCTTCTTAAAGAAACACTCCACAATAGCTCACCACTGATGGTGGTGGGGGACGGGAAACTTGCATTTAACATTCTGCTCAGAATGTCAAAAATATCTCAAATCACTTTACATGTAATCTCAGTCAATTATCCTAATGATGATGATAATAATAATAAGTCTTACAAAGAGTACAGCGCATTACACAGTGTGAGGACGTCTCAAAGCTCTTCGCAAGATTTAATGTAAAGTGTAGTGACTGTGTTTTGTAGGCAAAAGTGGCAGCTGATTTTCGCACAGCATTTTCCAGCCAAGTCCCCGGTTTAAGGTTTCTTCCCTGCCCACAACCCACAACACATCAGTCAGCAGACATCCACCCGGCGAGAGTAGGTTTAACAGAGGTACCTCTCTCAAAGCAAATGTCATTTCAGTGACACTCCAGTCCTGGGGGGTGTGCTGTTTTGTCCAAGGTACTGTCCTTCGGATGAGGTTAAGCCAAGGTCCCGTTGGCCTGTTCAGGTGGACGTTAAAAATCCCATGGCACTGTTCAAAAAGAGAAGGGGGTTTCTCCGGGGTTCTGACAAACAATCCTCCAGATCAAATTGGTCATTCACTTATGGCTGTTTGTGGGACATTGCTGTGCACAAACCAGCTGCAGCGTTGACTTACAAATGGTCAAAACAATTTACGGTAAAAATCCTGTTAAGCACTTTGAGACAACTTGCCAATGTGACAAGATGCTATACCAAGTGCAAGGATTATTATTATTTATTATTGTTGTCATCGTTGTTCTTATTGTTGCTGTTGTTATTATTAATAATTATTAGCAACAGGAATGATATTATAATAATATTATTATTTCAAATCTCTGTTGATCTCTGTGGAGTCTTGCAGTGTAGTGGTTAGAACACTTGCCTCGCAAGCAAAAGGACTGGGTTCGATTCCTGAGTGGGACAAACCTTAGGCAAGTTTTCTTACTCCACGCACCTCTGTTTACCTAGAAGTAAGTAAAAACCTGGTTGTTAGTAGATTCCAATGGTAATAATCTTTTTTAAAAAAATAATAATTTGGTCATTCAATCCACAACTCTTTGTGGGACACTGCTGTGTACAACGGCTGCCGCGTTTCACCCAGAAAAATATACACTCAATTCACTTTTTAAAGTATATTTCTGTGAAGTGCTTTGAGTCGTCTTGACAACGTACTCTATCAAATGCAAGAATTATTAATATCATTATTATCTGCACTGAAATCCAGCATAAAGTTTTAGGTTTCAATACAGGAGGCTGCTCAGCAAACTTTTGCTATTTGACAGACAGCGGAGCAAGTGACTCAACCTCAACATTAAGTTGACAATCGCTAGGCTGCAGTTGTAAGAGTGAACGCCCTCATAGCTTAAAACCCATGTCGGGTACTCAGTTTATTGACGGCAGTGTTTGTTTTGTTCCAGGCGCTGCTGGGGACCGGGACAGGATGCCTGTCAATCATGAAGCATTCCTCCTCATGGCAAACACCCAGAACGACATGGAGGACTGGGTAAAAGCTATTAGGCGAGTGATATGGGCTCCGTTTGGTGGAGGTACTATGCAAATCTTTTTTTCCCATACGCACAAAACTAAGGATACAATAATGTAGCGCCGTATGTTGAAACGACTCAAAGCACTTCACAGTTTACTATAAAACGCAGTGACCCCGTATTTGTAACACAGCCATCAGCTTTCCCACAGCAATGTCCCACAAACAGCCATGAAGTGAATGGCCAATTATACCTGGTGCTTTGTTGGCCAGGACACCGGAAGAGATTCCCTTCTCTTTCCGAGTGGATCTTTCACATCCACCTGAACAAGTGGAGACACGACCTCGGTTTAACGTCTCATCTGCAGTACGGGTGAAGGACAAACCCTAATATTGAGAGGAACGACCACTGATCGCAAGTCAACCCATTCCATTCACTGCTTGTTCAGCCCTCCAAGACTCTGCTGCTGTGAAGGGCACTATATAAATGCAGGGGAGACCGGGAGGTTTTTCAAGGTATGACTAAAGATTGACCCATTTTTGTCTGACTTGCTCTCACGGACTCACTCTGAAGCAGAGCCTGTTCTCGGCATCACTAAAGCTTTCTTTCGTAATTACAAAAAGAACCCATTCAAAAACACAGCAACTAGGACCAGAGAGGGTGGTGCATGGGGTGGCGTGACGGTGCGCCATGCTTTGCACACAAGATGTATCTATTGCTATTTAGTGCTGGGGCAATCTGTGAGTGCGAATGATGTACTGATTTGCTGAAGAGCCCACTGATCTCAAATTAAAGCTGAACCGTCCCTTTCCTTCAGTCACACATCCAACTGGTGTTCTCTAATCAGGTGTTGCTGGTAATGATGCGTGACAAATGCCCAGGTTACGCAGGAAGCAAAGATAGCGCTTCCAGCAACAAAGAGATTAGGAGCAGGAATCCGGATTTACGCAAGGTAGCACTCTCGCCTCTGGGTCAGAAGGTTGTAAATTAAAGCTCCATTTCAGGTCTTAAAATGACAGTCTTAAAATGACTCTTCTTTGAAGGAGTGCTGCAATGTCAGAGGAATTGTCCTTCGCATGAGACTTTGACAATTGAGGGATGTTTTTCAGGTTAAAGATGTTAATGATCCCATGGCACTGTTCCAAAAGAGAACAGCGTCCCGGCCGGCAATCCTCCAGATTAAATAGCATAATGAATGCGTATTTTGTAGGCAAACACAGGTCACAAACAATGGTAGACAGACCAGCCAGATGAGATGAGATAGCTTATCCTAACTGTTGGATTTCGCAGAGCAGAGTCAGTGCTACACTCCTCTCCCTCTCTTTCTATTGAAGTGGGCTCCTTGTTCTTGTAATTGCATTTATTTCTGCGCTCTACATCATCCGACCACAGAAACATAATTCACTCCAGCAATGGAATGATTCAAGGTCTCAAGTGGTTGGAAGAACGATCTGATCATCCCAAAGATAACATTACAAAGCGCAGCTAAGTCTGTGCATTATGCATAAATCAACGGCAAGGCACTTTGTACAAATATGTTCGCAGATTAGTAAAGGGGTAGGCGTAAGTGTAATAAAAAGAAATAAAACAACATTTTTAATAGATAAAATAACAAGAAACTGCCCCCTGTGCCCCCAGATAAAATGAAAAATTACAAAACAATAATTTCACCGGGCTCCAGAAATCGGCCCCCCATTTCAACAAACCGGATTCATTTGGATTATCGGGTTACGAAAAGAGCAGCCAGTGAATCCCAAATTCCAAGGAGGCAAAATCCGGAAATACTGATTTAACGCAAAGAATCTGGCTTGCGAATACCATTTCAGACCCCAACTGTCTCCTCTCTACAACAGGCAAAGCTCTTACCAAGTGACAGCTGCATCAAGCAAAGGCAGGTGGTGTGCACATCTGTGGTAGTCATTTCAACAGTGCTGTATTTAAAGGGTTCAGAAGTGTGCCCTGCACATAGGCCACACTTATAAATCGACCACGACCATGGCAACCAACACACAGTCTCCACACGAGACAGCAGTTGTGAAGCGCTTTGAGCCGTTGCGATGTTATAAGCACCGTAACAAATCCAAGGATTGTTGATCTTCTGGAGAATTTCCAGTGTTGATTATGGAAAGCAAACAAAAAAAAATCTGGTCACCCGATGCACGATTGTTTATGGGATGTTGTTGTGCGCAATTGGCTGCCGCGTTTCACCCACAAAATACAGAGTCAATACATTTTACTATATATTCTGTGAAGTGCTTTGAGACGTCTCAACGGTGTGATCAGGCCCCATATGAAATGCAAGGATTATTATATTATTATTAATTAAGCCAACCTTAGTTCATCCCACCCAAGCCTAGTCCCAGCTGCACAGAAATCATTGCTGCCCAATGATGAATAATAATAATAATAGAATCCAGGATTCTCACTGTGAAATGTAGTGACTATGTATTTATAGGTGAATGTGGCAGCCAATTTGCACACAGAAATGCTCTACACACAGCTATGAAGTGAATAAAATGTTTTCATATATATGGAGATTGTTTGTCAGTACTCCCTTCAGTTATCGAATAGTTGTGGGTTCTTTAACACTTTACAGTAAATCCTACGAAGCTCTTTGAGACAACCTCTCAACATGAAAGGAGCTATATCAAATGCAAGGATTTGTTTTATTTAAGCGGTGGTGCTTTTAATTCACAGCAAATGCCCTTAAACTATCAAGGTATGTGTCAATGATATAACTAAGAGAGATTCATAGGGATCTGAGCCAAATAAATACAAGTAAAGGTTAGTTAAAGAATGGAGGATGGCTTAGAACGTGTGAAGCGGTTGATGAAAAGTTAATTATGCGCTGAGTTGCGTCTCAAGGGTAATTAAGTGTAAATCGAAACAAGCTATTTCTAACATTTCCTTGAGTTCCTATTGTAATGTTGAAAAGATTGCCAAGTTGGATAATGCAGAACAGGTTTGTTTTGTTTCTTACACTCTGGAATGTCTGGCTTGCAGAGAAACTGTCTTGGCAATTAGGACCTTTTGAAATCTATCCTACATTTTATTAACATTCCTTAACTGTTAAAAAAAAAGAAGCAGGCATGTAAACCCAAATGATAGCTGTGCCTGAGGTCAAAAGTCATGGCTTGTGCGTGGATGTGTACCAGTCAGTATGTGTGATGGTGTACGAGTGTGTACACGCATGTATTGCTGTGTCAGGGCATGCGTTGGTGTGTGTTAGTTTACAAGTATGTGTTGTTGTGCGTGTGTGCGTAGATGTAGAGTTTGGGATGATCTCAGCAAACTATCAGTAAGACTCCTTCTCTTCCCCCGCACCCCTCCTCAACTGAAGCTGTCAGCTGCTGAGTTGCCTTTTGGCACAGTCAAGGTAACACAAGACAGCAGAGAAAGCTCCAGTGGTGAAGCCTTTCTGGATTGGATTGTTGATTTGGCACTGTATGCTTAAGAAAGGTTTTCACGTACGGGTGGGAAGTGGTGGTGGGGAGGAAAGTAAGAGTATGTACCAGACAAGGTGTTATATTAGTAGATTTATAATAACTTTAAGCTTTGCATTTACTACAGATTATCTTATATTGTTGAGATGTCTCACAGCGTTTCACAAGAATGACTAAAATTGAGTGACAGTGTACTTTGTAGGCAAACACATCAACCAGTTTGCATACAGCAAGTTCCTACACACAGGCGTGAAGTGAATGATCAATTTTACCTTGGGGGATTGTTGGCCAGGACACCAGGAGAAACTTCCTTCTATTTTCAAGGAGTGTCATGGGAACCTTACCGCCTAATTTAGGTGTGTCAGCCTAAATTATAAACTCAAAATCCTAACGTGGGGCTTGAACCCACAACCTTCTGACTCAGAGGCAACAGTGCTACTGAATGAGCCAGACTGACATCTTCATCCAACGCACTCAATCAAGTCCAGAGATACCTTAATATCTGAGTTACATAAATGGGCACTCCACCTGGGAAGTGGAAGTAATAATGGTGAATAAAAATTTGGTCACTCAATCCACGACTGTTTGTGGGACACTGCTGTGAGCAATTGGCTGCTGCGTTTCGCCCACAAAATATAGTCAATTCACTTTACATCATAATTCTGTGAAGCGCTTTGAGACGTCTCAATGACGTGATCAGGTGCTGTAGCAAGTATTGATATTATTTATTATTATATACGTGTGACACAATGATCCATGGAATTCCACTCAGTCGCAATGTACTTCGGGAGCAGAGTTCCTGGGAATCGTGAGGAACTTTAAAGGGATCAGACCCTAATATATAACTTCATTATTTCAGTTACAATGCGCCGGAACAATTGTGTTTTTTTTAAAAAGGCAAAAAAATGTTTTTTTTCCCATGGGAAAGATCGCTTTCCACTGGCTGCTTTATAAATAGACTGAGACTCGATCCTTGAATGCAAAAGTCCCATTTGTTGTGCTAACCTATAAAGCCAGTTTATTCAGCAGAGCTAACAACGAGATTATGACAGCGTTGAATAATTTTCAGTGACAGATGGAGAATAAGGAACAATATTTTAAAGCTGACATTGAACTGAGTTCCTACTGAGCAGATTAATCAACTGCAGGAACCCAATATGTACTGCATACCTCAAGATACCAGCAGACATCTCACAAGTACTATAAAATTGATTGGACATAACACATAATATCTGAGCAATTTCTGAAGGGATAATAATAACACTTACATTTCGTATCGTGCATTCACATTGGGGGATGTCACAAAGCTTTTCACAGGATATTACTGTGAAGTGCTTTAACAAGAGACATCTCCCCAACGTGATATGTAATGATTGTGTTCTTTGTGTGGGCGAATGTGGCAGCCAATTTTGCGCACAGCAATGACCCACAAAAGAGCCATGAAGTGGATGATCAATAATGTTTCTGGGGAATTATTGGCCAGGACACCGGGAGAAACTCCCTTCTCTTTTCGAATAACGTTCGCCTGAACAAGTAAACAGGAGCTTTGATGTAATTTTTCAGCCATCACTGCATTTGGAGCATCCGTATAAACTATACGAGTTCCAAATCCCGATGTGG